AAAAAAAAAAAGGAAAAAAAAAAGGAAAAAAAAAAAAAAAAAAGCTTTCTATTGAGCTTCAGGATGTTTTACAGAATCCATCTGCTCAGCCCTTCAGGCTTCTGGGGATCCTCGGAAAGACTTTTCCTTTTTGATGATTGGTGGAGTGATATTTGTTTATTTTGAAGTTCTTAATTATTTTTTTAAGTGTATGAATCACAGGATAATTAATGTGCTAAGAACATATATAATTCAGTATTTCATGGAATACATGACAAGGTGGTAAGTTAAAAAAAACAACCAAACCCACACAATGACAGTTGGCCGACTTGGCTTGGGCACTGTGATGTAATCCTGGCTTTGTTTCACCTCTGTTACAGTACATGAGGAACTTCTGGGCTCATAACCCTCTCACTCCTAACAAAGGGGCCTATGTTACCATCTCCATGTATTCCCCTCTAAATTCTACCTCCTGCAAATTAAAAAAAAAGCAGCATGTATGACATAATTTAAATTTGGTTCAATATTAAAAAAAAACTTTAATAAAGCTTAAATGCTTGTTTCAGTTTATACCAAGATCCAAAGGGATATTTTATTAAAATGAATAAGGCTGTGTTTTGCTAGTGCAAAAGAAACTAATTAGAAAATGACAAAGTGAAAGTAATCTTCTCTTGCAAGCAAATACAACTAAAATACATTTCAAGATGTTACCTACAGGTTTTTTTTAACGCTTTGTTATTTTTGACTTTGGGAACAGGCTGTTGGTCTGCATACAAATGGATATTCATTTGTTGATGTTTTTAGATTTGACATACTCAATAAATTAGTCACTGTCTTTATGTACAGTAACATATCCCCTCTCATGTTAAGTTTGAAAGTAAAGAGAAAGAGAAAAAGCGCTTCTGGAAATATAATCCTTCTGTGACTTAACTGCCTAATGTACTTTTGAAAGCAAGAACTGAATGCTTTCAGGGATATCACCCCAGATCAAACATCAAGCCTTCTAAGCTTCTTCATAAAATATGTAGCTGATTCCAGATTGTGAAATTGTTTTAAGGTTTATTTTTCCTTCTCTAAAGAACATCTGGATTAGATAAATTTTTTGTTCTGTTTGTGTTGAAAGTTTATGTTCCAGGAAATGGTTATATCATCAGTTTGGAAGAAAATGCCAAGTCTGAATAATGTCAGTTAGAGATTTTTTCCTAGGGAGCCAGAAAACTATTTAGGTACTAATTTCAACTGTTTCGGTACCAGCCAGTAAACAACAGAATTACATTGTTTTATTAGTATACAAGCCTAATGATTGGTTAGCTGCCTTTGAGAAATCATCTATCAGTATCAGTGATGTATTTGTTAATAGGTCTGACTCAAAGTAAATCAAGAGGTGCTAAATAACTAGGGATATAGAAAAGCTTTGCCCAATCAAATTCAGATAGTACCCTCTTACTATTTATTCAGTAAGCACAAGATGAAATTTCACAGTGTTCTGTTCTTTTGAAGGTTAGAAGAGAGGAGAAAGGGCCTTTAGTGGTGCAAGGGGACATTGAAGAGTTCCTGCAATGAATCATCTGAGCTAGACTGGCGCAGGCAACATTCTCGAATCTCCTCAGAAACAATAGTAAGGATACAGCCACAGCAGTAACGCGCAGTCTCTAGTTGCTACAGAAAACAGTTCTCGATTGTCCTAATGAAACCTACAGATCATGAGTTACTTCATACTTGCCCCTCAGTCTGAGTTAGGAGATCGTGCTGCTCTTCTTGGAGCTGCAGCCTCATTTCACTTTAAATGCAGTCTTTTTTACTTAAGGAAGACTTCAGTATATCTTTACTGCTACAGATTAAGCCTGTATGAGATTATTATCTCTCCTCATTGGATTATTCAGAGGGACATTGATTGCTTACATTAATCTGATAAAAGATGAGTTTATGAGAGTATCTTAACAAAAAACCTAATCTGTACTGAAGTAAAAGTGTTTTAGTGTAGCAGTTTGTAACCAAGCACTATATCTTTACAATGGAAGATATCTTTGATCCAACATAAAGTCTGAAAGTATAAATGAAAGTTGAGAACCTACACAAAAAGTTGGGATGGACATAACAAGGGTGAAGCTAGCAATTTTTTCCTGATTGTTTTCCTTAAGCTCATTTTTTCTTTTCAAGTTATATGTAATACTTGGAACCCTGCCTTAGATTGTTTTTGAAAAGGCTAACATGGGAACAAGCCTGTTGTCTCAGGCCAAAGGTCTGTCCAGCCTTGCATCCTGTTTCCGTCAGCAGCAAACAACAGATGCTAAGAGAATATGTCACACATAGTAATGTATCACCCGCATATTCTTCCAGCATCTCCTCATCTGTAGCTTAGGTATTTCTTGAGCCTTGTAAGATGTTTTATACTTAATAGCCCTCAATAATTGCTTTCTTCAGGAATTTGTCTTAATTCTTTCTTGAGCTTTTAGAATTCACAACATGTAGTAGCAAGGAGTTCCACAGCTTAACCGCATATTGTGGGAAGAAAATATGTCCTCTCATTTTGATTCCATCTCCTACTAGTTTCAGTATAACAACGTAGTCAATGAACTGAAGAAAAATTGGAGTTAAACTAGAACTTAAGGGATCAAATTTATTTTGAAGGAATTATTTCATCAACCCTTCCCCCAAACATCTTGTGACAAGTAAAATGCAACTAAGTTGGTTTAACCTGATCTAGACAAAATTGCCATCTACTGTCATGTAGAATTAGAAAAGATTGACGTTAAACTGAAAAGCACATACACTTCAAACAACTCAGTCTACCAACATTTTAAATTACAGAAAAGCAGTGGCATTAAGAGTCTTGGCAAATATCGAGGCATTTTCCACACTGCATTCATGGAAGCAGATTCTATACATATCTCTAAGCCTATCCTTAAAATGAATGGCATTTAGGTTATTACAAAATATCTCTTATAATACAAATAACATGTGAGAGTTCTTCACTTCCTACTGTTCAGGATAATTAAGTCATGGTTAGCAAGACAGTGGTGTTCTCTGGAAACAGGACGGTTGCCAATTGCACTGTTTCAGTTTAGTTATCCACTAAGCTTGGGTGCCTCGTAACAAAATGGCTTATGAGTCTAGAAAGAAGACAACAATTCCATCTTACTCATGACTAGGTTTTTCCCTAGCATGCGTGATTTTTCTGTCCCGTGGTTAGTTATGGAAGCTAACATGCTCTAGCAAAACTATTTCATTTCCTTAACTACGGCTTAAGGACAATGAGGCCAAAGGATCCTGAATATATAGCAGCGTAATTTCCTAGCTGCCTCCCCCCTCAGATGTTACCTCTTGCATCTTTTACTAAGTTGCATAATGTCTTTGCTAACTAAATATCTGTAAGTGCTTTCTCTTGTACAAAGTCAAATCACACTTCTGGGTTTTTTTAAGTAAATCTTTTAAAATCAGCTGAGACTTGTGAATAAAAGGTGTAACAGCACATTTTCCAAACACAAATATTAGTCAGATCACCCCACACCGAGTATATTTGTATAAGCTTGCTGCAAGAACAGTTTCCCTTAAGTGTTTCTTTTATTTATTTTTTTTTTAATCGCAGAGGTACAGGCTGGTATTCTTTGCTTGACAATATACTAACTATTTAACAGCAAGGAGAACTATGATACTTCTACTGGTATTTTTACCATGTTAGCCATTATTCAGCTACCATCCCATTTTTTTTGTGCCTTTATTTTTTTTTTTTTTTTAATATTGTTGCCAGATTGGAGAGATTGATAAATGCAAATTAGAAGTGTAATTCTGAACACAGAATGCATCACCAAAACATTATCCCACACAGATTTTTCATAAACTTACGTTTTAAAGCATGGGTCTCCAGACATTAGCTGCATGTTGATCAAAACCTATACATTAAGAAAAAAAAATGGAATTGGTCTGATACATGGTCATGTCACTAAGTTATACTTGCCACAAATCTTACATTTAAGTAAAATAAAATGGCATCATCACATATGCAAATAAACACACTTATGCAAAAACCTACATCTTTTTTCTTAGTACACATGCAAACAACACAAAATAGCATTTAAAGTAACATAGTTGCACATACAAGATTCTGCAAAAGATACATAGATCAGGAAGAATCTTAGAATCGTGAATAGTTAGGATGGTTTCAAGGGAAAAATAAAGAGACAGGAAATCTAAAAGATTAATGAGCAAACAGAATATTGTTTAGAACAGTGGGTGCTGAAGTACGTTCTTTGCTGAGAGTGTTTAGCAAACTGCTAGCATACAAGAACTGGTTGTGCTAACATCAGAGATGAAGTAAACCCACAAAAGGTAAATAATGCCATAGGACAACAATGCATTGAGAAGGCTTGTTAGCTGGGTCAATGCCATCAATTAAAAGTTTTCTGGAAAAAGTCTGTAACTGTCTTAAAGAAATCAGAAACTGCGTGCTTAAATGGTGTACTCAATAGTATGAGAAATTAATCCTAGTGTCTTGGTAGGAAAAGACATTTTAAAAAAATTTACTTGTAACATTCTGTATGTAATTCAGCTTACTCAGTTTTTTAAACTCCCTGGACTAATGGGAGAGAACAGCAGGGTGGGGTTCTTCCAACAATGCTCACCAACTGTTACACTGATTACAATCAAATAGAAAAGGGAAAGTTCCAGGAGCCACGGAGGTGTTGAAGCTGGCTTATACATAAATAGCCAATTAAGAGATTCACTCTTAGAAAAGCTGCACAGGAAGTTGCCCAGTCTTAAAGACATAATTGCTACATTTTTATGAATGTATTAACTTTTTCGTCGTGCTTCCCTCTTCCATTTTTCAATTCCTGTTAGAATAGGAATACTTTTTGAAAGCTCTTCTTTTACAGCTATCCAGCTCCATTTCAAAGAGTAGGACAAATTCTGTTTTTGACTGCATGGATTTTAATGATTCTCCCTAAACAATGCTGACATTTTTATTTTAAGTAGTTCTCCTTCTAGAAAGAGGTTCAGCAAATATGTTTTAAATTTCATTAAGTGCTTAATAATAACAGTTGTTCTCTGCTTTATTAGTTTAAGTACGATAAAGGAAACAAATTACTTTGAGAATGGAGTTATCCTGTCTTGTATTTTTGGTATCATAACCTTCCAGTAAACAGCGACGAGTGGTATTTCCCGATCCAGCAAACTCTGCTAGATTTAGATCTGCAAATCCCAGCTGTTAAGAAAAAAATGACAAAGTTAGTAGTAAGCATATCACTAAATGAAGGTACTTGCTACATGCACAGTATTGAGTGCCACTCAACAGCAGTTTCTCTCAAGTATGAGTAAGAGGATTCCCATCAAAGGGAGTGGCCCAAGGCAAAAAGCAGAAAAACTTTGAGTGTCAAATTCTGCATAGCTCTATTTTCAGTTAAAAATTAAAGTCTCAAGAGAAAAAAGAACAAGGAGAGTTTTCTTTATTTTTAAAAGTAAACACATGCAGAAGGGTTTACTTTTATTGACTCTTTCAACATACTAAATTGAAAGAAAAAAATTCTGGTGATATAACATTATTAAATATTAAACACACTGATAGAGAGTTCCAACGCCACTGTGTCACTATAACGCACATAATGAAATCATGGGTATTAGAGTACTATTCTGCAATTACTTTAAAAGGGCATAAAATGACAAGAAAGAAAAGCTAATTCATAGGCAAAATTAGATACATCTCAATTTACCTTTGCATATGCCTTTCCTCCTTTTAACTCCTAGGAAAAAAAGAAGAAAAGACATGCCATTAAGCCATTTAAGACACTGACTGGGGTTTTTTGGTTTGTTTTGGTTTGTTTTTTTTAGAAAAGCAAATACTAATCTTCATTTTAAAATAGCTCAACACACATTTGCTAGGCTGTACTGTTGTCATTTAGACTTTAGTATTAATATCTCCTCAGTGCTGGCCCGCAGGAGATTGTCATCTTGCGGAGGCGGGGAAGGGCAAGTGCCTGATGCTGACCAGCGTTTGGCTTTTGCAAAGTCTAGTGCCAAAGGTAGGAAGTGCTGCATACAAAATCCTGGTACTTAGCACAGTTCAAGGCTTCTAAGTTTACTGCTGCTCACTAGAAGTATCTATCAAGGGCTAACTTCATAACAACTGATGAGCAATTCCTTTGGTGTCCTGCTGGAATAAGCGTTCTTTTCAATAAGAATGTAAAAAAAACAGGGATTAGTCAAACTAAGGTAATTAATAAGATTACTATGAAATTTTGACTAGAATAATACCTGACATGGTTGCAGCTAAAGTTTGCTTTATGAAGTTTATCAGACATTTAAAAATTAAACCAAAACAAGTGAAGAAAGAGCAGGGAAAGAAAAAGAGCTACTTACCTTCCGTACAGACACCCTGCAAATGCAAGTATCCAGAATCCCTGTTGTGGCACTGGCACTGATTTTACACATAAATAAGAACTTTTTCTTCCAGCGGACACAGTTTGCCTGTACTACCTCCCTGCAAACAGAGAACATATGCTTAGTGTCAGGTGCATATACATTCAGGACCATAAAATGCAATAGGACAGCTCAAGAACAAACACTGGTTCCGCTGTTTGTAGAGTAGTCACTTCATGCAAAATCTGATTCAAGGCCTGAATAATCATCCTTCATTCTTGTCTTTGTGTAGCAAGACCAATAACTGTTTCAAACCTTGAACACAATATTAGACCTACAGAAAAATTCAGCAGCCATGTGTTTTTGCTAATGAATGAGACCGTGATTTCTCCAGTTTGCCTCCGGAGAGTGAAGTCTTCCTGAACTGTAGCTCCCAGGCACTGTCTTCCAAGCTGCTGAGCTTTGGAATGTGCCCAAGATACCATCTTTGACAAGTAGTTTTTCAATCCAGAGAAAGGGAGCATCATACAAGCAGAACTAGATAAAGTGGAGGCCTGGAAAAGTACAAAGGAGATGATGTACGATAACCGGATACAAAGTAATGCACTTGGGGCAAACAAGAATTTCAGCTACATACTGGGAGCTTGCCGTTAGAGAGCAAAATAAGACGACTAATATCTGAATGGATTTGTTCATTGCAGGAGGATTACAACCTGACAATACGATGCTGCTGAAAAAAAAGGCAAAACGTAGGATGCTTTCAGCTGTATTAATGTTGGTATGTAAGGCTCAAATGGAACACATTATTCTGTTTGGGTAACTCTGGTTGAGCAAGAACAGACTCCCAAATGAACAGGTACAGGGAGGACAACTAGAAAACTCCTGTATCTTACAAGAAAAAAATACATATAATAAAAATACACTAAGTAATTCAAACACTTTAGAGACCAAATGACTTTAAGGCAAATAAAAAGTGGTTAGGACCAAAATAAGGCATAATCAAACACCCATTTAAAACTGAAAATTACAAGGTCTCAAACCACAGAACAAGTTTCTAGAACAGCCTTCGAATAAGAGAAGTAGGAGCAAAAAAAATCTTACTGTATTTAAAGACACGGTTGGCCAGTTTGTCAATAACAGGGGGCATAAGGACCAGTGATTCTGAGGGACTTGCCTCAATGATCAAAAGCTCTTTTCTAGTCCCACATTTCTAAACTTGGAACTTGGAACTGTGGAGAAACCGTGCTAGTTTCTTATACTGCTCTAATTGTTCACGTGCAGTCTTCACATATTAAAGCAATATTTGTCCTTTTCTTTCTCTTTTATTTTTCTAATACATACAGTCCTATGTTTTATATTAACTCCTTACAGCAGCTTGTTATTGAAGAGCCCATCCGACATCTTTAAGAGAGGCAGAATTCTATGGTTCTACATAAGCTGGAGTCAGAGTTTATCACCCGTGGAGAAATGATGAATCACAAGGCTCACGCAAAAGCTCCAATTTGCTGTGCTGGTGAGATTCCCAGCTACAGTGCTCACTGGCACCGTGACTTCCTAAGGCAGGAATAAACTAGCCTGCCTAAAATGAGTCAGCTCAATGACCACAACGGACTAACGGATTCTGATGATACAACACTGATTCATATTCAAGCATGTGACTTAAAAGGAACAGGCTCCGTACATCACGAGCTACCTACCTTTTATCCGTTTTGTTTTATATTGTAAACTTTCCTGTGCTTTGGAAAAAAAAATCCCAAACTGCTAGTATACCAGTTATTCAAATCCAAAATAGAAACTGAATTCAAAAAAGGCAAATTACTAATAGTTACACCCTCTACTGGAAACAGGCTCAAGCAAGAAGTCATCAAGTATAATACAACCTTAAAGCGATATTTGATAACTGCTAACATTTGTTACACTTAGAAGGCCTAGGAATAACTTGCGGCACTTCTGTGATAGTTGCTCAACTATCAGGTAAAGAAAGTAGTCAACTAGATGTCCACGGTCAAGCAGAACACAGCTATCCAAGTGCATGGTATAGGGGGTCTGCATATTTGCAGGTTTCATACACTGTGCTTAAGGATAACGCAACTTCTGAGAACGCTATTTTTCTGTAGATCACAGTGGTCCGGTGACTTAGAAATAAATTCTCCATAATTTACTTTTTTTTAAAGTTCTTTTTTTTTTTTTCTAAGTAACATTTTGAACTTATTGTAAAAGCGAAAAAATAGAAGACCTCATCTCTCTTAAAGACACCACCACATCAAGATCAGTTTTACCTTTCTCATGAGCTGTCTAGCTAGAAATTTTTGCTTCAAATAGAGAAGGGATATTTCTGTCACTATCTTAAGTCATTAAATGCACTGTAGTACTCTGATCCTTCTGTCAACAGCTCTATCAGGATAGACTGAGAATGCTAGAAGCTCTTATGAAACAATACTCGTGTCCTCTTGTGAGCACCAGAAGCAACAGGCCTGCATTGACACTGAAAGGCAATAGGCTTGCTCAGCCCTCAACCCTGCTGGGAGTTTTACCCTAACTTGCAGGAGTTTGTTAGACTACAAAGACTGAGCAAGAAGGGGAACTTGAATGCAGAGTAACTGATATAGTTGGTCAGGATTTTCTTTCACTGAAAACATCACATTTTGGCACACTGGTGGTATTCCTCCCCCAAAAATCCAAACACATACACACAAAAAATCCCAGAATCAGATTTTATAGGTAGTTTCAGCACAGCGTAAAGATCTCAGTTCTAACACACCGCTATAATTAAAAACCCTCTACATTAAGAGGATAATTAAAAATGCTGTCACGTAAACAAAGTGATTGTTGTAGTTGCCTGTCTGTTTCACTGGACTTCAAAGAGTTATTGAAATTAAATCTTACTAGAAATATCGAATCAATACTAAAATGCATGCAATTATACAAACCTTTATTAAGTTTCAAAAAGCAAGAACTCTTAACAATCCTTTGACTTAAGCTTTATCTCTAGTCTCACATCGAGGCATATCAGCTATAGCCATGAATCCACAGGGAGCCTGCATTTGCACACTGCTATGCATCCAGTATCTGCAAAACAATCTAGTCTTGAGTGTCCTTTTGGAAACTAGAAGCAATGTAGATTTTCTGCTAGTCATTGTAAGGCTATAAAAGAATGCTACAAGACTGGAATTGTTCACTTGTCATCCATAAAGGTCAGAAAATCCCTTCACATAACTTCTGCTCATCATGCAAGTAGGACAGTTGTCACCACCGTTACCACCCTTCCCTTATCACCCAGGATACCACTGGGACCACCAGTAACAGAATCACTTCTCCTCCTGTTCGTCATTTCACGAAGTTCTTGTAGTGTTTTTACATCGGTAGCATTTCCAGTTATTAATAATATTTTTTCCTACAAAGAATGCCTTTGATTTTCTGGATGTTTCTGTAAACTCGTAAGGTCAAAATAATGTACTGAAATCTTTGTACAGCTCAGTGTTATGGTTCAGGTTACGTTTCTGCTTTTCAGAACAGCTTTCCACCTCTATAGCAAGCTACAGTCAAAGCAGCTTTACATTGTGCAGTTATACAGTGTTCCAGGCATCACTCGCATTATAGTAAAAGATAATTTAGTGAACATTAAATGTAGTATTTTCCCTTGTAAATACAAGATACAAGTAACATCTGTTTGATAAATGTAAGTGTCCTTGAAACCTTTAAGGATCTTGAACTTATTTCAACATACCAAGTATATCATTGTTCACGTAAGGAAGATAGCACAAAACCACTATGCTTTTGGAAGACTCAATCCACTCGTATCACAGGTCAGGATTTATTCAGGCAAATAATTTAATAAACATTAAATAGGACGATCAGGTTTTTAAGTTCTCTTACAAACAAGAAATTAAAAGTTCAGTAAAAATGCCTCAGTTATAGACATTGATGCTCTAATTCTTGTAAAAATAAAATCAGGTAAAACCAGGAATACCCCTTCCTCCTCATAAGGACCTCAAAACAAATATCATTAGTTTCTTTCACTGGCACATTGTTTTAAAAACCAAGATATTTGAAACATTTGTACACAACGTGCACACACCCCCCCCCACCCCCAACAGTTCTTCTAATTCCATTATACAAAGAAAAATTTAATATATTTTAATGAAGGTAATTTTTGTGTGAAGAAAAGCACCAGGAAGTTATTCCTCTCACGCGGCAAAACCCAAGTCAAATAATCAGAACATTTAAAAGTAATATCTAAGTTTCTGAAATTCTTAGTACAAGTGCAAGGCCTTTAGAAAATAAACAGTTATATTGATTCGTTACTATGGAAATGAACCCAGAGAGCTTCTTGGCAACTGTGCCTACGCTACAGGGCACGCTGGAGAAAGCTTTCCGCTATGAGTCAGTTTCCTATGAGCCTCACAGTCACTTTACCACATGCAAAGCAAAACCAGTTGTTTTATTATTCAAAATATATCTTAGTTACTAAGATGCATTCAAATACATACTAGGTTGTCATGCTTGAATGTAACTTAATGAATGCTGTCAGTAAGACCTAACAAAGAATAAATTGAATAGACAGGTATTTTAAGATAAATTGATTCCAAAGTATACTTTAAGTTACCATCAGTTTAACAAATTAAGTGTTTTTTCTTTAGAGGGACAATTTCACATTGACTAAATTTCAAATACAAGATTTCAGCTCTAGGCAAGTCTTTTTCTGTATATATTTTAGGTACTGTACACAATTGCCATTTAGAATGATGAATTAAAGTCTTGTTTTTACTCTTCTGATCCACAAAAGAGAAAATCAACAAGAAAACTAACACAAAAGAAACAACAAAACCTATTCCAGTCAACTCCTCATCCTAATTTGTTAACAAGTGATGGGCTCTTCCCCACCCCCACAAAGGCTATGAATAATGGCTTGTTTCAGCAAATAGCCACAACTGCAAAAATAAATTAGTTTTAAGGACATTAAGCGTCATGGGAAAAATCCCTTCTTGCCAAACGGAAAAGCTTTAGCAGGAGAGGCTTAGAAATAAAGAAGCCAAAACTCCTTGTGGGCATTTACCAGAATACTGTGTTCCATTAACTAGAAAATTGTTTATTCAAGTTTTAATCTGAATTATTCTAGACAGCAAATTATGACCTTGAGCCATATGGGGATGACTATGTTAAACGGATTGTTTTTCTAGTGCGATTACTTTAGAATCATTGGTCACCAAAGAGACAAAAAAATTGTGAGCACTTGTTTTCAGTTTTAAGATGCCATTCAGTCTTTACATCAGACTACTTTCACATGAAACTACTTCTAGAAATACTTTCGGGATCAGTTGGGTCAGTACACTTCTTTATGTTAAGGGGTGTTTGCTTAGACATTTGACAGCTTTTGTACAGAACATGAGTTACCTGCTCACTATAAATACCTTGAAAAAATAGCTTTTTCACTCCATGAAATAAATGGGAATATTATTGTTATAATTATTATTTTTTTAAAGCTGGTAGTTTGATGGGAGGGTTGCTTTGAACTTCTAAGAATTGTTGAGGCCAGGTTCTTAGAGTCCAAAGTACAACGAATAAAATGCCTTTAGAAGAGTTATCTCTGAGCGAGTGCAACTTTTCCAATATTGCCTAAGTTTTGCTTGCTTCTTTTAGGGGAAAACATATCATGTTGATGAGGTAGTGCAAGAGAAGCGAGGCTGCTGCAGCTCCACTCCCCAGATCCAAGCAGTAGCGAGGCTAAAGATGCGTTCCTGGTAAGCACCCGCACACACCACACGGACACAGCCGGCCACACGGATCACAGGCACACAGAGCACTTGCAGAGACAGCCAGCACCAACAGCCTCACCCCACTCCCCTCTCTGGCTGAACAGGAGACAGGTCTGCTAGCAAGACCCATTATATATATATATGGCTCCCAGGCTACACCACCTTCTCGACAGCTAGTCTGGCTTGATCCCTGACAGCATTTACACACTCGCACACCTGCACTCGCTCCAGGTGCTGGCGCCACAGGCACACAGGTCTCTGACTCCTGGTCCCATCGCAGCGGCTGGGACTTGGGTTTCACTCATCTGGTCTCTCCAGTTGCTGGCACCCAGGCACATGGGTGCTCTGGCCCACGTTCCCACACCAGTTGCTGGCACCAAGACTCTCACTCACTCCAGTTGCTGGCACAATGGACACACAGGCCCCTGTGACCCACGGTCCCGCTCCCGTAGCTGGCACTTAAGTCCACTCACTCAGGTCTCTCCGGATGCTGGCACCACAGGCACCCAGGCCCTCTGATACAGTCTTGACTCCAGTTGCTGGCACTCAGACGCCCCCCAGCTGGGGCAGGGTATCATTTTAGCTCCCCCACCCTCTGCTGCCTTTGTTTCCTGCGCTTGTTTGTGGGTGCGCATATGAACTTTT